ATGAGTAGCACAGCAACAGTGAATGTACTTAATACTGCCGTAAGAATCATTTGGTCACAGACAAATTAAACTTCCATCGCATGTCATTTAGCTTTCCACTACTGTTCAGCACTTAAAAACTTAGAAATTTAATGCATTCTTAAAATCAATAAATTAATTTGCCTTGCAAATTCAAATAAGAAATGGAATAATTTTTTTTTAAACAAAGAGGTATTTATTTTTGTCTACTATGAAGCAAAAGACCAAGCCAAGTCTAAGACTTATTTAGACAACCTAGAGGTTTTAAGATAGCAGGTTCCATAATGATATTCTCCTCCCCATGCCATACTAACTTCTGGGTGCTTACTAATCCAGACTTTGAAGTTTTGCTCTACTTAATTAAAAAAACATTATAGTAATAAAAGAAAACACTATTATATCTGGTGTTTCAGTAACTGACTTTTAGTATGTACATATTATTATCTCAACTACCCCTTACTACTGCAAAGAAAACAGGCTTTCAAATACCAATAGCAAGATTTAACCATGTTTTCTGTCTGAGCTTTTCTTCAAAAGATCATTATTACGCAGATATAATGGCAAGTCTATACGTGCAAGCAGCTGCTAAAGAGCATTCAAAAGGAGAATTAGAACATTTTAAGCCCCTTCATATCAGTGCCAGCAGCTGAACAAACCAGAACCCTGACACCCCTGGAGGCCTCCTCACAGGAGACTTCCACAGAGCTACCCTGCCTCGCTTAATAATCTTCCCTAGCAGGTAACATTCATTTTGAACAATTATTGCCCATTATTTCTTTGTCGGAGGCAATACAGCCTCTGAATATTGCAAAGGTCAATCCTCTCACTGAGCATTTGGTATTAGCCAAACATGATTTCTTCTTTTCTTTTTTTTTTATTTTTTGGGGGTGTGGGGGAGTTTCTGATGCAGCCAAAAAAAAAAAGGCAGTCAAGTTTTGCTTACTTTTAAAACTAGAAATAAAATAAAAATTGATTGAAAACTTTGTCCTGACAGGACTACTATGTGGCTCTACAGATTACATCTGTCAACGTATTTTGCAGGCAGTTTAATTAAAAGTCATAAGATTTTTCCAGAAGGTTTTTTCCAAATAATCTTTGCTTCCTCTCAACTCTGCAAGATTTAGAAGTACATCTTTTAGTCTTCCTGGATCAAGTACTTTGAAGCCTAATTTTGCAAGTGTTGGTCTCACGCCTATCAGCGTTTTTCCAGCTAAACAAAACTTCTACAAATTTTATTTTAAAAAAAAAAAACAAAACACAACACAAAACCCCCAAACTTCTATGCATTCCAAACACCTGCATCTCAAATAAAAAGGTTTACCCGTTTCCTTTATTCTCAAAAGCCTCCATTGGCAAAGAAAACACACCAAACCTTTCAAATAGATTTTTCGTAGCAACTTACAATGGAAATTAAAGTTGTCTGCTAATATATATCCTAAGGGAGTAGTAATACCATACAGAATATTAGTGTTATATTAACCTGAAGAACAGAGAGGCTGTTTCGAACCACAGCAACAAGCTGTTATGCTGCACCTAAAGAACATATCATGGAATCTTCAAATTGGAAGGGACCTCTAGAGATCACCTAATCCAACTCCCCTGCTAAAGCAGGATTGCCTACAGTATTTAATACTCTCACCTGTGGGTGGTACAAGAATTTACACTAAATCTAAGTCAGAGAAAGAAAAGGCTGAAATGTGAAGAAGCTTTTTTTTTTTTTTTCAGTAGGCACTTCCTAAAGTAGCCTAGCCAAGTCCAATAGATGAGAACTATTCTCTGCTATTCTCCACAAGAGCAGACAATTGAAAATACTAGAAATTTTTAACAGATTCACAGATGCTCCCCTCCTCATGCCTCCCAAAAGAACTCAAAGGTGCTATAGGTAAAAATCTGCTAGACTATTTACTTATTTTTGTCGTCCTCAAACCAGGACAACTTTTGATATCTTTTTGACAACACACTAATTTTTACCCTTCCATAAAACAATTTTTTCCAAAACGCTGAAGAACTTGGCACAATGGACATGGATCTTTAACTTCTATAAAAAACATCAACTATGCAGACCTCTTTTTGTATTCAATGCCCCATATTAACATAAAAGACACTTAAACATGGAAAAAAAATAGCACTATTTTGTCAATCTCAGGCACAAAATTATACATCTGAGATGAAACATTTATAACAGGCACAGGTGGGGTTTTTTGCACATTAAAAATTCAGCACAAGTCTTTCTGAAGTACCAACTACTACCTGCAAGGAATATAAAGGTCCAAATTAATAAGATAGATACAATGACGTTAACCTCTGTAAGTCGATCAGATCATCATCCATCCCTACTGTTGATAGCTGATGAAGGAACTAGAAATGATCAACGATGATTATTTAACTACACTACAGTAAACATGTCTAAATCTGACGACTATACTTATGACTTTCAGCCCCTCACGTAAGCATAAACGATACCATTTTGCATTAAATTACTCACTATAACCTTTTTAATCAGCTACTAGCTGCGTACCAGTTTTTCCAAAAACCAGTCTCTCTGTATACTGGGAACTATGTTTAAACAAAACTAATTGAAAAATATTTATCTCCAGGATTTGTATGTTTGAGTTTAGACATATGTAAGTAAAGACAGCACTAAGCAGTATTGGAGTCCTACTATATACACACAATCACAGAATCTTACAAGCTTTAATCTATTTCTTACATAAACAGAAAATAGACATATCCCATTGCAAAATCTCTATGTAACATCACACAAACTTACAAGGTGTTATGTCAACATCCTTTTCCTTGGAAGTAGCCTCTTCCATTAATTCAACGCCTTAATTTCTGTAACAGCACTATTTCCAAAAATAATGTTGACTCATTTAATGAAGCACTACCAGGATGAGCTAGCAGGAGAGAAGAGGACCAAGGGCAGAGGAAAAGCAATAGCCTTCAGGATGAAAACAACACTTTAAAAAATGAAGAATTTGATTCCACAGAAAGATACAGTCTGCTTCCTACAACCTACCTAATTCCACTGGCTTCACAGGACTGAATTTAAGATGATTAGAAGAGAAGAGGTCTCTTTTTAATTCAAAGAAGTGAAATAGTGTGATTTATAGAAGTCTCCACAATAACTACGCATCATCTAGATCATATTTTGAAGACCCAAATGCTGCTCAGGCTAGGCATTGTTCTCTTTACAGCAACCCTTTTTCAGGTTTTAATAGCTGGCTCTAAAAATAAACCACATTAATAAAACACGATCATAATTTCCATCTTTGCCACATCCCAATGTGTTTCATACCAGAACAATTCAACTAGCAAATAAATGTTTCCAGCCATAAAATCACTTGCAAGTCAAAACCTGTAACAGCTACACATATAGAATATATCATGCCAAATTACCATTCACTACTATTAATTATGACAAAACCACATATGAGATATCTTTATGTGAGGGACATCCAAATGCTTCATCTTCAACAGAATTAAAGAGTTAATTGCTGAAGGCTCTCCACAATTCTGCTCAGAAAAAAGTTTTTCGTGCTAAGTTAGACCAAGTCTTGAGCCACATCATCATTTGCTGAGCCTCTGTCCAACATGCTTTAGTTACTGGCAATGCATTTAATCCTCCTCTGTTTGCACAGAAATTCATCTATGGGTCTGGCAAGAAACGAGGTATTTCAGAACGAATGCCAGAAGGTAATTTATGGGACATCCAGTTCTCAGGCCCTAACAAACAAGTTGTGTTATACTGCCTCCCAGTGCACAGTGTCTGCCTGAAGCCCAAATGAAAAAAGGTTGAAGAATCCATTTTAGACATAGAACTACCAATAATTCCCAAAGGAATTACAACTACCTTAGAGCCTGTTCTCAAAAGCATTTAAGTTGATTTGAAAAATTCAACACAGAAAATACTATTGAACTGTGGGATTGCATTTCACTTTAAATAAAGAAATTGCAGAAGTAAAAACGAAACCCAGGCAAATTCATATGGCGGACTGCTTTCTTATTGAGTACTTGTACAATGTCTTGTATAAAAGCATCTTGGGACAAACCAGGATTTCTAAATCATAGATAAAAAATCATTGACAAAACCCAAGAATTTTACAGCAGATAAAATTTCTCTAGAAAAACAAAGAAGCATTTCTGTATTTTATATATAAGGGGACAAAAGCCAAAGCATTTAAAAGTCAAAAATAAAACAGATATCTGTTAACCTCTGTGAGCCTCGTATCATGTTCTGAAACACTAGAACTTTGGAGGATGGAATTCTCTATGCTGACTATGCAAAACCCTAATAAAAGTAATTTCCTAACTATGTAAGTCAACATTCCAAAATGTTTATATCAAGAACCCTGTTTTTTTGTAATCAGAAACAAACACATCAACACTGATGTTCAGCAGAATTAATAGTCTGATACAGATGTTTAGCACAGGCTTAACTTCAATGTAATCATCATTTCCAACTCTTTCACAGACCACAAAAATAAATTGCAGAAAAGATTAAAAAAAAAATAATCATTTAACAAAACCTACAGTTGAATTTTACTGGGAGAAAGAGGCAGGTGTACCTTTCAACATTTTTAAGATGAGCATTACTCTTGCTGGCTCTTCAAAAAGTAGTAGACTCATTAAGCTGAAGTACAGCTTTGCTAATTCTAACTTGAGGCAATTCACTTATGAGAAAGGTCAGACCTCTGAAACTGAAAGCAAGTGAATCGGTTAAAAATGAGCAAAACAAATAAATGTGACTTGCTCATTTGGACAGCATGGAAGATTCACGACAATGCCGAACCTACAATCCAACCCTCTAAACATGCTGTTTACAAAAACACTGTCACAAGCCAAGCTTTTAAGAGCCCTTAGCAGAATGTTTGAAATTTATCTTTAGACATGCAGATGACTGATCCCTTTTGTTTAGGGGAACTAGTTAAATAAAAACAAATCAGCTTTACAAATTAAAGGGAAGAAAGGGAGACGCTTACAGCAGTTGGATCCTTCAAATGGAGCTGAGTTGCTGTCACTTGTGTGAAACCACCAGGATAGCTAGAAAAACAGAACAAACATACAAGGTTGACATGATATGCTCACGATGTTAACACAAATATCAGTACATCTTGAACAACAGCGTAATGGTATAAGCCTTCAAAAAAGAACGTTGTTCTCACGAGACCAACTACATTGTATTAGAAAGATTCTATCCTGTCAAATACCTAGAGTTTAACGCTATTTGTACTTTCTTATTTAGTCACTTGAGTATTAAAAAGTTTGTGTTTTTCAAGCAGGTGGATGTTTTCAAAACTGCTTATTAAATACACCATCACAGCTACAGAATACAATGGGAGTAAAATATGCGGAACTTGGAAATATTTTAAGATGATCAAGACTCACAACCAGTCTGTGGCTGACATACAAAACAACCATTTTGAACAACATTTATTATTTTCTTACTATTTTAAATAAGTCTTAGCGTTATTTGGCTTACCTACAGTAATAAAATTTGACTTTCACTACAATGGATCCATCTTTTTAAAGTCTATATGATACCATGAAGTTGCACCAATTCACATTTATGCATATACTTTAAAAAATTGATACAGTGGTGCAAGAAATTACATGGATGTGAGGTAAAGCTGGGTTTCATTTTGATCTAAGTACATTACTAGGTATCAACCTAAGTGAAATGAAAATAAACCTAGCATCATTAAAACATATCCACTTAGGGAGCTGCACAGATTTAAGTATTTGTTTTAATTGTACAGTTCTTTTCACTTACTCAAAACCAACTTAGCCACTTCCACAAGTGCTTTAACTTACAGAGAAGTTTTTAGTGAAAATTTTTAAGTCGGGGGGGGGGGGAAGTGCATTAATTTCCATCAGCTCCGAACAAGAACTTCTTAGCAATTTAGCAAAGGAATTTCAGGACTGAAATATCAGTATTAGCAAAATTAGCTTTCTCAATGTGATTTATTCATCTCCCAACTGGACGCATTTTAACACTTAGAGATAATTATCTAATGTTGTCACTGCATAAAATATGAACAACTGTTCTTATTTGACTGAACTGATCGTTGCCATACCGTCTGTAATTGATTATTGCACTTCCATCTGTAAACAAGTTATGTCTGCCAGAATAATATATTATACACTATTGTATACATCAGCACATCTTGAGAGCATCTCATTTCTAACTAGTTTTCCCAATTTCTTTTTTTTTTTTTTTCCCCATCCTCTGATTCAATAATATATATTTACTGTTAGGTAAAAAGGTACTGGTAGGTTAAAGTAATTGAAGTTGGCAACTGTATGCATCTTAAACGTGCAGTGCCAGTAGGAATGTCTTCTACTGCTTAAATAGAATAGTCCTGATCGCTGGGTTCATGGGTTCACACAAAACAGCCAGGCTTAATCAATTGCTCTGACTACTTTCGAGGTGGATTATTTTCCTAACAACATACACTGGGGAAATAATAAGAAAGAAAAGAGAGAAAAAAACCCAAACCAAGAACAAAAAGGTTTGCATAATTTTAAACATTGCAACACATGCAAACACAAAACAAAACATCTAAGTAGGAATTCCCTTTTGAACCAATACACTAAAAAAGATTTCAACTATTAAGAAAATATGATATTAAGTTTACCACTAGCTCATTTGAATATTTATTATAAAGCTTACCCAGTATGTGAAGAATATACTTTCTGTTCCCATTTGTTACCAGAGAAGGCAATATGTCTTGTATTTATTATGACAACGTGATCTCCACAGTCACCTACAAGGTAGAAATCAGTGGAAAATATTAGAAGACCACAGAAGTAATAAACCAAAATAACAACTATAAAGCGTGCAATACATACTTAGTAGCACATACATACACATTTCATAAAGCTCAGATTTAAAGATCTAGCCTGTTGCGTTACACCATCCAAACCTGCACTTAAATACCAACCTTAATTACTACTTTTGTTCATACTGTCAGGTTAGAAGGCAGGTGAGCAGCTAAAATACCATCAGACTAGATAATTAAACCATTGCAATTATTCAACTAAGATCTGGAAATCTGGCTTACAGGCAGTGTATTATTTTATTCAACACATTATGCTGTATATGCACCTATATTAAAAAAAAAAAACAATTAAAAATTTGTTAGTTCTAAACAATGACCCTAAATATTTGTTTAATTTTAGTTTTCTCATAAAAACAGTAACAATGTTTACTGGAGGACAGAATATTTTGGATAAAATAATTCTATAAATAATTACAGTCTAGGGCTTAATATATAAAAGAAGCAAAAAGTCTGGGGGGCGGAGGGGAGAAAAGCCCTACAAAAGAGTAAAACAGCTCTGCTGGGAAAAAAACACATTTTCATCAATCAAACAGAAGTGAGTGTTACAGCACATATAGATACGTTTAGTGTTATATAAGCAACCTTCACATCATAAGTTTTTTAAGTGCAAAATCTATAACCTATCACGAAGACCTTGCCAGAAACAGTTACTTTACTAGATCTTCTTCGCTAACAAAGTGCTTGTAAAACCCATACTATCTCAAAAATATGACGAAAATATGGGAAAAAAAAAAATACAGGTTTTCATTTCAGAAGTAATCATCTTGATTAGCTGTATAACCACCCATTCAATCAATTGGAAAATTATTTGTCCAAAGCTCAGTCTCATACACTTTACCATATTAGAACGATATAAGTATCTGAACAGGCCCATTCAATTAAAACATTTTTGAGTAGGTAACAAAGCAGCTACACTAAGGACTTCAATTGAGCACACATTTTTTTATAGGAGCATATAATTAATCAACGCAAGTTTCACACCCTATTTAAGTTTTCTACCACTTTTTAATCTTGTGTTCTTTTAAAGCTCTACTTTCAACTGAAGCTAAAGTGCAAACACAGTTTAAACAGCTTCATTGATGCAGCCTTTCACTACTAACAGATCAGTTCTAAAATCACTGTATGTCCAAATAAATGTCACGGAGCTGCCATTGGGGCTTTGTGCCCTTATTGTTTTTATTTTTTTTTTTTTAGTTAGGAAAAACGAAAGAATAATATAAGAAATTTATGCAAGTGTGAACTGTTGGCAAAAACACTGAATTAACAATTCCATACACCAGTAGATTGATTACTAACAATTAAGAGCCCGGAGAAAAAGTAATCAGGATACTTGCATACTACCTGAATAATGACTACAACCTGTTCTTTTTAAAGTAGATTGAGTTTATGGATAGCTAATCTCCTTCAAAATTTCAAATTAATACATTATTTTCCACTGGTCTTTAAATAGTGTTGCTATCATCACCTAAGGGACGGCTGCACTTAATAGGAAGAAAGCAAAAATATTCACCATCTCCACAAATACAGTCACATGGCATCCTACTTTTGAAAAATGTTCACAAAATATCGTGCAAGAAAACTCTTCCTTTAGGCTAATTTCATGCTACATTGTCAAATTATTCTTTCATGAAGTATGTAAATATGTCTTCCTCAAGAAGACATATTCTTCCTCTTCAACACACAAAAAACAAGGCCAGTATATTCTATTACATTATGGTATATGCGATTTGTTACATAGAGCATATACATTGCACCTCTTCAGATAAAACTAAGCTGCCACAGTAAACATATTTTACATCTCTACATTTATAGCTTCAGTAATTCCCATAACACAATAAAAACACATGCTTCAGGTACACGCATTTTTCCTCCTACATTTTAATTAAGGACTAAATGGTAATTAAAGGTCAACTGTTAGCTCCCAAAACTGACAAACTACTTGTCAGATCCTTCATTCGAAGACAAGTCTTCACCGCTGCTTCTAGCCATTATAAACTCACATTGCAATCCAGAGCAACACCTCGGCTAGATGGGGTTTGCAGGACACTTCCATCTAACCTAGTTGTCTTCTCTGAAGATGCAGCGGACAGCAGCAAATCCTATCCAAGCAACAGAAGTGGCTCACCTACACCTGTTCACAACCCAACATAAAGAACAGGATTGCCCAATTTTTTTAAAATCTGGCCCATTATTTCTGGTTCTGTATTGGGAAGCCGCTCACAAAGATAGGATGCAAGGGGCTGAAGGCAGAGAGAAGGGGAGGTACGGAAGAAACCTAAAAATCCAAATTCAAACCTCCTGAACAAGGTTATACCCCCTTATTTAAGGCATATGGTCTGACAGCATTGAAAAATACGGGACTCTGAAGAATAGTGAAAGATTAACCCTAAAACAGAAAACAAATATACATGAAATCAGACTTCTTCCTTCCCTAACTACAGCTTAAATCCAGTTTCAGATACTTTTCAACACAATAAATAAATAAGGATTTTATAGAAGTGTATCTGGATACCAAATTAAAAACAAAACAAAAAAATCCCCACAGTGTTATTCTGTCTAAGGAACTGTGAACTGTTATCTCATAGACATTAAAATATTTCTTCTTAGCTCCGTAGGGAAAAGAAAAAAAAGAAGCGTTAAGTACACCAACGACAAGTTCATGCATACTTCGCTCTCCTTGAGAGTATCAAATGTCTCTCAGTAGTAGTAACCGATCAACATCAGTCTCAGGTGCAATGCATTTGGTACTGATTTATAGAATACTTTAGACCAAATAAAGTTATCCTTGAAATGACTTTCCAAGATTTTATAACTTCATGGACATACAAGTATCAAAAATCTTTCCCACAGGACAACCAAACCCATTTCCTCTCAGTGTCTGCTTTGTTTTGCAGACAGGTTTAGTCTCCAGTGACATCTTGTGGATAAGATATAATTTGCAACAGCAGAAGTCTGGTATGTAAAACATCTTTAGAACACTACAAAAACTACCTTCTATTATGAAAACCAGATCAAGTATAGTTTTAATATGTACACTCTACATGTATGAGAAAAGTTTAATGCTTCCTTTATGTTTCAGTAATGTCTCTTGAAAAATTTGCAAGAGTATTACAGGACATTGTACCGTCAATATGAGGGATCACCTTTTCATTATCTATAAAATGCTTATCACTGCAAGACACGCACTATGGTATTACAAACAAGATCACAGACACATCTTTATCACTGAATCTTCTACTTTGCAGAAAAGCAAATATTTTTTTTTTTTTCATTTCAATAAGAAGATAAATGGGAGACATAATCATTGTTGAAAGTTAAGAATCAGACAGGTTCCAGCCTCATCATCACAGAATGTCTGAGGTTGGAAGGGACCTCTGGAGGTCATGTTGTCCAATGCTCCTGCTTAAGCAGAATCAGCTTTTGAATACCTCCAAGGATGGAGACTCCACAACCTCTTGGAAAACCACTTCCAGTCACCCACACAGTAAAAAAACATTTCCTGATGTTTAGAGGGAACCTCCCATGTTTCAGTTTGTGTCCACTGCCTCATGAATGCAGGACTTCTCTGCACCTTATTCAGAACGAAGAACCACTCCAAGACTCTGTGGTGTTGTGCATCTACTGAAAGGCAGCAGTCAGAAAATCTAATCAAGAATCACACTAGTGTTTCAGTATGTGCACTGTGAATTAAATCTTCACAGCTAAAAGCAATGCAATGAAACACATTTCAAGGGTTTTTAAGAAAATGAAAGAACAAGCCACTGTAATTCAGCTACTAAATTATGAATTCATAATGAGCTTTATATGGATTGGTAAAGACAATGACATAAGGCGGTCAAAGATAAGAAGGAAAATGAAGACATTTAAAATTTACAAGGCTTAATTTTAAAACTGAAATCAGAAGACAAATACAAGGGAAGGAATGCAAATTTGCTTTTAACTACTGCAATACTCACTTAGTGCATGATAAATAGGTTTATGCCTGCCTTCGAGTCTGAGTACAGTCGCAGCAGCTATTTTTCCTGGTGGCTGCATCTTTGCATCGAGAAGGTACCAGGCTCTGGCAAAAGTAGCCCATTGCTAAAGAGAAAGAGAGGCAGAGCTTAACATACAAGAACACTCCGCCAGATGTAAGCCTAGCTTCTCTAATTAGACCAACGCTCTAAAATACTGGAAGAAATATCAATATTCAACAACACTCCCTCCAAATAACCTTTAAGCGGACGGAGATCACTGCCATGCGCCCACTGCTGCACACACTTCACACGTACCTGGCGGTAATGACACCGAAAGGTCACCTGAGGGGTTTGTGTCGCGAATGAGGGCCTCTTGCCGCCAGCTTCCATTATTGCTAACCGAGCC